TTACACACACCTACGCGCTCATATTAAAACAGTCCAGGTTGATAAGCGAATAATTAACAAGGTCAAAAGATGACTCAAGTAGAATGAATAGAATGGGCTGTCCGGAAGCTAGAATAAGATATATGGGCTTAAGATAATTACTGACATTACCATTAAGAAATAATTCTTTATGATGGAGTTTTGTTCTCTAAACTTTATGGTTTGGTCATGGAGCTTTCATCGTTCTTCTGAACGATATTATCAGCATAAACTTCTAAATAATTTTTTGTCAATAAAATGGTTTGTAGTTTAATATTCATTCATTTAGATTTCTTGCATCAATAAGATAGTTTAGCAGGTAGTAAACTGTCTTCTATATTTTATGTAACAGTGAACCATACAGGCTCAGTGGTTACATCTCATATTATGAGACTGGCTGATAAAATTTGAAGTTTCCTATAAAACATCAGTTTTCTTACTGAAGAGTATTAACTAGAATGAAACCTATGATTAAGAGTTTTCACTGACTACCTTTAACCACTTAATACATCAGCGTAGTCCACATGATGTCAGATCACTTAGATTAATATATGTAACGCAACTTGATCGATAGGATTCGATCAGTAGTAGGAAGTTGGATGAACATGGCAGTGATCACTTATTAATTATTCAATTATACACAAACTATTAATATTTTGTCGTTATTATATTTTCAGTACTTATGAATTTTTGAAAATATCAATATTCAAAGGAATAAGACATTTATCATTTATCAGATAATATTCACTTCTTTTTCTTTTCAAGGAATTTACTTATGATCCCTTTATATTCTATCTGAATTATTATCACAATGTTTAACAAACATTTATAATATGATCTATTAAATTTCTACATGGAAATATAAATTTGACTTTAAAAAATGTCGTTACCTTTTTAATTCATTTCATTTATACATAAATTAACTTGTGCAATAATGTTATTTCAGAAATGGGTTTTGTGGAGATTTTAGTAATTTTAGTAGTTGAAATCATGAGTCAATTGAAGCTAGACCACCATGAAAAACCTAGAAGCACTGGAGGGCCGTTTTGTCCTAGTATAGGACTTCTAAGCAGTTCGTGTCCACGATCCAGCACCGTGGGATTCGAACCCATGACCTATCAGTCTCGCACATGTACTCTTAACCACTAGACCACTGAGCTAGCCGCCATCCAATGGTGTTAATGTCTAATTTTAACTAATCCATGAAACTGAGTGACACATCCACCATTATCATCAGCGAATTACTATTTCACAACAGACCCAGTTAAACTCCACTGGTCATTGCTTCTCACTAGAACTCCAGGAACTACCTCTTGAAGTCACTCACAAGTGAGCAGAAGGGGTTTTTATGGATACTATATTTATTTATTTACACAATTAGATTTTACTTTGAATTTATACAAATAAATGTAGTACAGAGAAAATGTCACAGTGAATTAATACAATGAATTCTATATACTATAATAAATGGAAATTAAACTAGACTAATACAATAGAATCATGCACTGAGTACATATTGCAAAAATTACTAAATAAATACTACACTGAATGAAAACATGATAGCAAGTCCTATGTATTCATCAGTACACTACTTATTGTAGACATAACTTTTGTGTAGAATCAATCAATGATAAATAACAAACGACTTATTTCATGATCTCATGTCTCCTAAAGTCTATATATTTATATGCAAAATTTTATCCAATATATTTAATGATATTCCTGGGTTAGAATCCCGCGAGCGGGATCGTGGATGTGCACTGCTGAGTAGTCCCACAACAGGACGAAATGGCCGTTCAGTGCTTCCAGGTTTTCCATGGTGGTCTAGCTTCAATTGACTCATGATCTCCAATATTGTAATGATATTCTATTGAATACATTTTTATCTAAACAACTGCTAACAGAAAGGACCATAATTACAAAACAACTAACATTACGATAATAGTTTAAATGTTAATTGAACAAAGATACACCTGTTTATTACAATCAAATATATTTCTATTATTATTTACTAATGGAATTCTGTAGTTAATTACTTATGATAAAAGTGATTCATACATTCATAAATATTGTAAATAAAAATAAAAATCTCTTATTTATTGATCGCAAAATTATAGAATATGTTTAGTTAGACAAATAGCTTATTTATAAGCGCTCACTTACGAGACTGATAGGTCCTGGGTCCGAATCTCACGAAGCAGGGTCGTGAATGCGCACTGCTGATGAGTCCCACAATTGGACGAAACGGTCGTCCAGTGCTTCTAGATTTTCCATGGTGGTCTAGCTTCAATTAACTCATGATCTCAACTACTGAAATTACTACTATTCGGTACCCATCCTGTAGTGTAGATGGAACTGATTTTTGCTATGCTGTTTGAATATGTATTACTTGACTTCAGGGATTAAGATGGTATCATTGAGCAATTCAAACTGTGACTGTGACAACTGACAACTTATTGAGTAGTGAAGAATATCATGTCATCCTAGTTCGTTAAGCGCTAATTGAATTATATCAACCAAGTTGCAGTGTGATCACTAACGTAGTCACCTCTATTATTGTTTTTCTAACAGGTAATGGATAATGCAAGTGATATTTCAGTTATAATATTTCAACAAAGTACTTAACGAAGATAACGTTAACATTAATCTAGAACTTACAGTAGAAAATACTAACAGAATATTGACTATAAATTAATGTATCTGATAATTTCGCTCCCTATACCATTAATTTTCATGCTTTTGTGCAGCACCGAAAATTATTAATTGTAAGAAACTTTTGCTAAAATTAGTAGCCTTCAGTGAAATTCAAGATCCATGTTTCATCTTATTTCGGACTCGTCATGTAGCTTTACTTGCCTTCCAGTACTAATATTCAGACTGAAATTTGAATCCAACCAATAAATACGTAAAGGAGGGCATATCTTAGATTTTTTGAGCATGTTCCTATAACCTTCTGAACAAGAAATTGAAAGACTCTAAACATTGCAATTACCAAACATATTTTGGATACAGTATATCAAAGTGATTGGTAATCAGCCAAACTCCATTCTTCTCAAGTTTGCTGAAGCCATTGCCATCACGTATCAAAAGCCTGATTTATGTGTTCAAAAGATGGTTATTAATCTTTTCTTGCCTTGGTGACAAATGTTCTTTCGTTGCATCATAAAATTTTTATTTTTATTTTTTTTCTCTTTCTTGAATTTACTACATCACTGTGTTTTTTCATTTCAGCTACCTTCCGGATTAGTAATCTTATTTTATCAACTGAGCTCTATGAAACGTTTACTCATTACGTAATCACTTGTTTCTGGCCGTTTGAACTGTTGTCACAATTAATGTTGTAGAATATTCTTTTATATAGGTATATATTTACAATATTTAGCCTCGCAAATTTATTTACACCCTTGCTATACTATTATTCCATCAACATAACTTCCGACTCAACACTTTCGTGTAAGTAATTTAAACTCATTTTGTATTTATGATTTTAAATATCACAGGTTGTAAGCAGCTGACGAGAACGAATGAAATAAAATGTACAGATCATTAACTTAGTTGATCTATGCTGAATGATTGGGGGCCTACTCGAGTTAGAGAGGAATAGTATGACGAACCAGCTAACTTCGAAGTCACACATCGCGACCAGCATCTAACGTGGATTACCTCTTCTTTGAAAACCACATAACACAAAAGAAGTTATCATGGAAATATATTAGTAAGAATGAGTAAGGAGAAGTTAGCAAGACCACCATCGCATGGGTCAGTTCATGGCATACAATTAACTGATGAGCATCGGTTGTCTTTCACTTTAATATGGATCGATGATCTATTCGATATTCAGCAACCCAACTGCCGAATGATATTTCACTAGCCCTACAAATGAATTTATTCTATTCTACTGATATCTTTGTTCTTGCTCATTTTAAAATGATAAAAGGAACTATGTATATGAAAATATGTAATCCACTGAGTTACTGAATTCACATAGTCACTATTTTCATATATCAAATGAATCAATTTTATTTGATAACGATTTATATTGAAATTTAAACATGTAAATCATTGATCATTTCCAAACAACCCTTTAATACTATACAAAGATACTAAAATTAACTACTCAATTACAAATCTTCATAATAATAGTAACAACAACAAGAACAACAAGAAATTGAGAACCTATTTTGTTTTTCAAAATGAAATTTATTATTAGCAAAATTTATGTGAATTTTATTTTATTTTTATCTGAAATACTCATATACACCTTTTTTAAAAAAAGAAAAAAGAAAAGAAAACAACACAATGCAACTAAACACACAAAAAAGTTTATTTATCAATAATAAAGTAAATGTATAAAATGAACATTACAATTTTATATACTTTAATGACATGGTTAAATCTTAATATTCTTATTCGTAATATAATTATAGAACATTAACATTATGGTATTATTATTATTACTTTTCTTTTTGCTTCTTTTTTTCTTTTTTCTGTTTTTTTCATTGTTTCATTCAATATATAGAATATTAATATTATTAAATGAAATAAATTTTAAAATGCATGCAAATAAAAGTTCAATGAACATTAAACACTTTGGTTCAATGTTCAATAAAGAGGTAGATATAATGATTTCTTTTTAAAAGAATGATGTATATTTTAAAAAGGGATTTCATAAGTTAAAAGTTGATTTAACTGGTTATTATTATTATTATTATTATTATTATTAATAATGGTGAGAAGATTGAGTAGAAAAAACACCAAGAACCTTAGCTAAAACTATTCCATATATATATATATATATATATATATATATATATATATATATATATATATATATATATATATATAACTTCAGTAAAACACTAAGAAATAAATAAAAAGGAAACCATTATGTAATAAATTTGTTGAAGAGAAAAAAAATCTAAAAAAACTTCAGAAAAAGTAAATAATCCTTTTTATTATTATATCATTACTTTAATTTACTTTCAATTAGAATTTATTGATGATTGTTCACATCCACATGTACAATGATCACTAACCATATATTCATAACGATTCCATTCACAATGATAACCATTAGCTGTTAAACTTAATTTACGTATTAAACGTCTTACACGTTTTGATCTACGTTCATCTATATATGTTTGATGTGAATTTGTATCTCTATTATGATGATTTAAATAATTTGTTTGAAATTCTCTTCTTCGTCTATTTGATGCTTCTTTACCTGAATCATTTTTACAAACCTAAAATGTAATTGTAAAAATAAAACATAAAGATAATTAATAAAATCTATTCTTGAGTAGTTTTAAGTTTATGTGTATAACTTTACAGTAGCGATCATCACCAATGAACAATAAAAAAACAATGATGAATAGTGTTTAGCAGTGGAATCCAGAATACGCGTTTAATCCTATTTAAGACACGTCAGTTGGATGTATCTGCATATCAGAGATGATGTTCACTTTGGGACTCGAATCCAATACTGTTCGCTTCAAACAAGAGACTGATTAATTACAGTTCTAAATAACAATGTGAAGATACAAGTAAACAACACCAAGTGAATAAAAATAATCGTTGTGATTTCGTTTCACACATAGATTGTGGTAACTTATTCCATAGAATTATATATATCATAAACAGTCACGAACGATATGACATGGTGATTTTATACATTAGATTTAATCAGTGAGTGGAAATAATCATTAATTTAGTAGTTAGAGAGAGAATATTGCATTCCACGAATGGTTGAGTCTAAACTGAATACATATGGATTTTTAGTTCAAAGTACAAGAATGTGAAATTCGAATCGTCATTTGACAGATGCCGACGTGATTTCATGGTTCATGGGTAGAGTACTGGAAATAAAGTTAAGTAAACTAGGAGTGATTGAACAGATAATTTCCACATCAAAATATATATGAGTTAGTGTTATAGAGGTTACGTACTTTTTAAGTCATTAATATGTGTTCTGAGAAAAACAGATTATAGGAATACCTAGATCAGAAGTTAACAATTATATGAAACTTAGATAACGTCTTACTATAATATCAAGTGATTAACCTAATAATCACTTTTTATTTGATTTAGTTTCGTTTCAATCAATATGAATTGGAAGCTTTTGAAACGTATATAAGTACCGATAGTTGGTGTCTCTTACATGAGTTCCATCTTTTTCTTAATATATATATGAATAGATCTGTTATAATGTAACAAAGTGATGATTTTTAGAATCTAGCATTTTTGTTGCAAAAGTTAACAGTCAACTATGCAATAACTAGTTTTTGACTTATAAACTTCCCAAAATACATTCCAAGGACATGTTTATACTGAATCTTACAGAGTAATAGTTGCTTGCTTCTATTGGCACAAGTAGTTTCACCATCCTGCTTCGGTTTGGGCACTCGGGCAGTATCACAGCCCTCACACAAATCTCATTTGATTTGTGTGGCGCATATGTAATTGGTGCCTCCTTGTACCAATATATGTGTTAAAATAAATAATAAAATAAACAAATTTTACTTTTTTTAATTTTGTGCACTAAAATGAAATCATTAAAGTGTTATTGTATTCTTATAGTTAGCTTAAATATTAAAACAACTCAACACAAGTCAAAAGCATATTTCTCTTACATGCGAAGAAGAGAAGAATAACCAACTTCCTTTTCTAAACATAGTGATTAGTAGGAAAGATGATGGTTCCATCCAACGTTCTGTATATAGAAGCTGACATGGACAGGGCAATATCTTTCTTTTCATAGTCACTGCCCAATTCAATAAAAACGTGGATTAATGAAGGGTCCTTTGAATTGAATCAATCATATTTGTACTAGCGATACTACTGAAGTAGAGACGAAGCTTTTGACAGAAACGTTAGTGAATAGTGGTTATTCATTAAAATTCATAAACCACTGGAAGAGTTGCAATACGATTAGACCTATGATGCTTCTGGCACCCAAAAAGCGAGTTTACATTATGTCACCATTTAGTGGTGACTCAAATAGCCTCATGCTACTTGAATTAATCATCAACAGGACATCTTATGCAGCCCAACTTGTCATCATTGAAAAGATAAGGGAAGATTCAAGTAAACGAATATCATTAAACAATACCAAGTGAATTTAGACAAGGTCTATGTTTCACCAAAAGCCCAAACAGCACAAGGGCGATTGTGTCACATCCCATTGTGTCTATCAATTTACATGTATGTGTAGAAACACATACATAGGGTGGAGCAATTGTGATCTACAATAAATGGTGGCGGAACACATACCGAAATGGCTGCAGAAACAAATGAATTGCAATGATTAAATAAGATCACAGGATAGACAGACATCTTCCTCCATTTGGTTGAGACTGGTCATAAGGTTGATATCAAATCAGCATTTGTAGTGTTGTGCAAAAGCCTTCAAGAAGGTATACTACCCTGGTAATTCAGATTTATTATCCAGAGTGTTTTTACATACTTTTTTATATACTTTATTTTTCTTTGTTACGGCTAACCTTTAACCCATCTAGGTGACCTTTTAGTTTTCATTTAAAAATGTGGTCTAACTTCATTTGAATCATGATCTCAAGCATTAAAATTTACTATAATATCCACAAAACCCCTTCTGATATAAAGATGTCTTAACAAGTATATATGTGATCAGAATGTTCAAAATGTATTACTTAAATATATCACATAATTCTGACAACCTTTTTCTCATGGCATTATCGAAACTTTCATATTATTTAACACTCCTGATACTTAACAACAAAATTTCAGATCTATAAAATTGTTCAATTAACAACTAAAACTTTTCATTAGAGATCTGTTTCAAATCAAAAATGCAAAAATATTGTTATGAAGTAAGAGTATAATGATCTGTAATGAAAAAGTATTTAAAGATTGTTAAGTGAATGAATAGAATAACTATTGATAGATTAAAGTTATGATGTGATACAACTAAATAACAGATACTATTTGCAGTTCATTGACTCAAATTGGTGTGAAATAAAACGTGATCCCTAACAGGAAGAACACAGTTTAGTTCGTTAAAATGAAATACTTAGATTGAGATCATGAACCGATTGATGTTAGACCACCGTTGGAAACCTGGAAGCACTGGACGGCCGTTTCATTTTATTGTCGGACTCCTCAGCAGTGCGCATCCACGATTCCGCCCCTCGTGGGATTCGAATCCAGCGCCTTCAGTCTCGCGCGCAAACGCTTAACCTGCTAGACGGTGGTTTTAAATCAATCAGTTAGTGATCTCAATCACAAACTTAATAATCTCCACAACCCCTATATTGAGACAAATTATTAACAAGAAAGTAAAGAATTATAAGATTTGATATAACATTCTTGAAAATTGTTTCATACGTTGCTCAAAGTCTGACTGTCAGATCTAATTCTCAATCACCATGAAAAATACTGTGTTTAGTTTTCAAGATAATACATTGATACAAGCCAAACGTTTTAAAACACGTCTGTAGAAAGTATTCCAATATCATTTGTTTTGCTCTAAAAACTCGTAGAAAATTTTTTAAAAACAGTTCAGGCATTTTAAATTCAAAAAATATCTTGAGACGGTCAAGAAGTTAAGCCATGGGTTCTCGCGTACATGTTACGTGTTGTCGACGATATTGAATGTTGTTATTTATCAGCTATTAACGGCATATTTTCTCTCACACGTCAATTTTCGTAATTTTTGTGCTTGTTACATAGCTTTTATTTCAGTTTATTAGTAGTCTGACTTATTTGTTGCTCACAACCTGGGTGAATATTTAGTCAGCCTAATGTGGTTATCTGTAACAATGCAAATTCAAGCAAGTGAAATTCACCATTTGTCAAGTCAAAATAAAGACCGTCAACAGATTTTTATGTAAAAATGAACTCTAAAACCATTTATATATGATTCATTCCCCTAATTATGGTGGTGATGAATATGGGTGTTGGTAGTTGTTTATAACATGAGGTTGAAGCAATGACGCGTTCAGCTACTTTTGAATATTATATAAGTTGCTAACACACAACCATAAATAATTCCACTAATTATAATCATCATCATTTATTTGACTGAAGTGACATATGTAACACATCTGAGAAACAAGAATTATATTAGTAACAATTGACAATTATCCACAAATATAGGAAAAAGAATCAAACCGATAGGAGACACAACCAAAACAAAGAAGTAAACAATGACAAATTTGAGGTCAATAAGAACCAGTCAACATCTAGGTGTACAGAACAAGCTGTGAAACGCATATGGAGGAATTCGAACACTTCACTTCTATCTGAAGTTTGTGCTGATGATGTCGTTTGGAAGAACGATGAAAGTTTCACGACCAAACCATCCAGCTCAGAGAAAGAATCTCCATCAAGAACAGGACGCCCTCGACCAAAATTTACCCAAACCGGACAAAATCTTCCCAAGTTACGAAGTTACAATCGACTCAACGTGTGCACTACTAGACAAAGAGAGCTAAATCAATGTTCTTTGCGATGATTTTGTGGTTTTTCTGCAGCAAAGGCTACTTAAATAAGAGAACACTAAATATTCATGTGACCAATTGGACACCCAACAAACCCAAATCAATTGAAATACAGAATAACCGCCTCTTGTCAGGCTGTTCAAGGTTGCTTAAACGAAACGACCGGCGGCTTTGAAAGGATTTGACTTTCTTACCGTGCCAAATATCTTACACAACTGCACAAAACACATTCCAGATATAATTAATAAGTATTATACAAGTGCTCAACTTCACTCGTCACTTATGCAATAATTAAAATGCAGTTTATTATTAGCTACATTTTACTTAATGAACATTTGGTTTTAGTAAAACCAGGTTATAAGCCATGGGTTTGAATCCCACGAGCGGGATCGTAGATGTACATTACTGAAGAGTCCCATACTAGGACGAAACGGTCGTCCAGTGCTTCAAAGTTTTCCAACGTGGTCTAGTTTTAATCGACTCATGGATTCAATTATTAAATTACTACAATCTCTACAAAACCCCTTTCTGATAATAATTACACTATAATTGATGATTCATCATTTACCAATTTGGATACCATTTCATTTTCTCTTATCGTTGTCATGAATTTGTATTATGTAGTAAAGTTATAAAACCTAGTTTATAGAGATAAATTTCTCCCAAGTTCTTAGTTTATAATGAAATATACTATCTACACTTCTTATTATGATAATAATTTTCCTCAAGCTAACGTACTACTGGTCAGTTATTCTTGGTCTGTTACA